GCTTCGAAATTTAAAAACGCAGAACTGCGGAAAATTACCTTGGGAGCTTGAAAGTTTGTAAATTTGGTGACCGAAACTTTTAAGTTCTGAAGTTCGGACGTTTGAAAATATGAAAGTACAGGAATTTAAAAATTTGTTTCTAATTTTGATTTAAGATTCCCTCAAATCCCATAAATTAATTTCTAATTACTCAAACTGAAAAAATTCAAAGATCACGCTACATGTTAAAATATTTCTAAATTTCTAAATATTCTATTTTGAATCAATTTTTAAATTGAATAGTTATTCTCATCCATAGCAATTATAATTCCAGTATACCTTTCAAGTTAATGAATATCTATTACGTGATTATAAACTTGAAAATCTTTAATTTTGTTAGCTCCTTTATTTATATAACATTAGTAATATTTATTCGTTATTTCCACAATTTTATAATTAGTAATAATTACATAACGAACAGTAATCAGGAAGTTATAATCTTCAAGATCGAATAGAAGTTATAACATGAATTCAATTATAGCCTGCAGATTTCCAAGTTAGTGACTACCTATCGTTAGGTATGTCACATCATCATAACATTACTCATATTGTCACTGTAGATGTGGGAAACATATGATAGTTAAAGATAATTTTCTCGTAACCTTCACTCATCTACCAGATGCATACAACTCATTGCGTAATATTGCATATAAAGCGATATTAAGTGCTCATACACAAACCTAACTGATAAGAAACACTAGTTTGTGTTTATTCTTATTATGACTGAAATTGCTACGTATCCTAACGTCGTAATTCAACTCCGATAATTGGCAGCTATTTCAACGTTCCTTGGATTCGAGAAGATAAAAGATCAATTACTTTCATGTGTGGACACATGGAAAAATTTTAGACACAAAATTTGGAATTACTATTGGAAAATTGAGCGAATTCAAAGACTTATAATTTTATTTATGAGTTAAATTTTATGGTAAAAATTAACGTATATGGCTAAACATAATATTGTACTAATTATTGAAAATACAGGTAGTTAATTTGTTGTATCACCGATAGAATACTTCGAAACAATTATACAATTTCAATGTTTTATAACTTTATTATCAAGTTGAATTTTACAGTGAAAATTAAGGTATGTGTCTATTATACTAATTATTGAAAATACAAGTTGTTAATTTGTATCAATAATGCAACAGAATGATACAGAAAAATTGTACACATTTTATGTTATACAACTTTATTACCAAATTGTCACAGTTAAAATTGATATATGTGATCGAACTATCTGACTATTAAGAGTACAGATTGTTGACTTTTTTATTGTTAAAAATGTAGGTAGTTAAGTAATAGTTAAAATGCAGGTTGTTATTATTCAAAATTCAGCAGGTTAAGTTTAACATTTTAATTTTTAATTTTAATTATTAATAACATTAACACTCACTTTTATAACCTTTTGCACTTTGAAAGTTTATTTTGCCATTTAAAATATGCCCTCAGAGGGGACATCATTAAAAAAAATTTCATTTATATCTTGAATTGGATTATTAGTTTAATTAAATTTGTAGTATTACTTGTGAACATTGTAGTCATCAATGTTAAAATTTGCGTGAAATAGTTGCAATAAGAAGTAGCAGCAGTCTTTGGCAATTTTATTCAACCTTCAACCGGTGAGGTGACGTCAAAATGACTCCATGTGTATCCATGGTAACGATCAACACTCCTTCCATTTCCAGTCGAATTCTTCATGCTACACGATACCTGCCCAGAATTCAATATTCTGTCGATTGCTACAAAGTGAAACGTAAATAAATATGTTAAAATAATTATATAAGCAGGTATCTATTTCGTAATATGTTCAAATGACGTCACATCACAATTAGTAATAGTAAAATAAATAAACAAACAAACAATTAGTGATAGTAAAAATGATCACTGATTAAAAATTAAACTAATGTCCAACAGGTAAAATCTTAATGTTCCTATTATATGGAGAGTTGACTAATTATAAAAGTGTCTGGATCTGTAATAAAAAGTAAAACTACTAGTGACTGTTCTTACAATGGCGACGTTTTAACATTTTCTTTACAATGTTTTGTAAAACATAACAGATTTAGAATATTTATTTTTGGAAATAGTAGAATATTTATTAATAAAGGAATTATAAGGGAATATAACGTTATTTACAAATGGAATTGGAAGAAGTATATCGTAATTATACATAAATAATAACCAGTGATACTAATACTTTGTATTTCTTTCGTTGACTTTCGTTTTTCACTTCACAGATGTAGAATGTATTAGTTATTTAATTACTTATATGGAAAGCTCTTCCAAGTTCACTGACAAGGGACCATCCCGAAGTGATAATTTCCGATTTTGATGAAACTTGGATATAATGTAGTTCTCGAAAAAATATTCGACACGTATTTTTTTTTAGCTGCCACCATTCATGTTAACGGGGTGAAAATAGCCCTCAAAGTGAGAATCACGTTTTGTGGAATATCTCGGGAACCAGTAGAGCTAGAGGGATGGTTTAAATTGCAAAGTTGTGTATTTTTTAACGCGGAATCCAACTGTGAAAATGGATTTTAAAAAATCGTATTTGTTTAAATAATATATTAAAAAATTAATTTTTCTATTCAAAAGTTGTTGTATCTTCTCGTAATTTTTTATGTGAAAAGTATACTAGTAAGTATAAAATACGGATAAAATGGAATTAAGGGTTAAAAAATGATTATCCTGCAATTTTAAATCAACACGTATTAGATATCAAATAAATATTATCAGATACTTTATTACGTATTATAATTACTATACGATGATTTTTATTATAATTTTATTGCAAAAAAAAATATCAGTATAAAATGAAGGAATATTTATAGCATAAACAATTTTACGTAGTTTAGTACACATGCTTCAGGGAATATCTGTAGAGGATGATATAAAAAGCAGCAAAATATAGATGCGTATAATTAACATCTTCACTGTTGTTATAAAAATAACTTTCTAGAACATGTCCAGGGTAAGCAACGTGCTATTATGCTGACCTACTCGAACATGATGTTTATAAATAATGAACCTGATAAATTTAATTAAAGTTTATAGGCGTTATTAAATTACCAGCTTGAAATTAAACGTTGTATTGCAATTATTATTTTGAATTAAAATAAATAAGATAACATATATTTAGATTTACATTTATAGTTATCCACATTTATTTCCGACTAACTAATGAATCTGCTTTCAAATTGCCAGTTTCTCTAATTCCCAAATTTAAAAATTCCCGAATTTCTAGATTTTTATATATTCAAATTAATAAGTTCAAAATTTTTCAACTTCTCAAATTCCCCAATTTCAAAATCCCTAGTTTTTGATATTTCTATATTTCAAACCCCCTGAATTTCTGGATTTCTGAATATTCTAATTCTCAGTTTTCAAGATTCTTAGTCTTTTCCCAAGTTTCAAAACATCCGAATTCTTAGATTTCTAAATATTCAAATTCCCAAATTTCAAGGTTCCCAGTTTCTTAAATTCCTAAGTATTAAAATTCCTGCATTTCTAAAGTTTCGAATATTCAAATTGCCAAATTTTTTCATAAATCCGTGAATCCCCAAATTCATAGATTTCCAAACTTACTTTAAACGAAACATTAAAAATCACATTTTAAAATCCTCGAATTCTTAAATTCCTAAATTTCAGTCTCTCAAATTCTTTAAATCCTCAAATTTCCAGATACACAAATTTCTGAATCCTTAAAATTCAAGGCTTAAATCATTAAATTACCATATCCATAAATCCTTAAGTTCTAAGGTCCTTAGTTTCCTATGTTCAGAAATTCCTAAGCTGCCAAACTCCTAAATCTCCAAATTTCGATGGAGTTAAATCCCTAGATTCCCATTTCCGTTGATCCCTAAACCTCCTTGTTCTCAAATCTCAAAATCTTCTAATTCTTGTGTTCCCAAATGCTTATGTCCTTTATTATTAACTGTCCGAATATACTTGCATCTATTATTCTTATTATCTTCACATATCTATGTTGTTTAGTTTTGATCTATTACCACATGCTTCTGTTCCTAAATTTCTGACCTATCCTCAAATCTTCAAATTTTCCAAACTTCCTAAATATCAGTGAATTAAAAATCTCTTCCCTCTCCTTTTTCACATTTTCCCTGTGGAAGTCAGATTTGCTGTTAATCGTGTCAGTCAATTATCCCAAAAGTCATCATCGTTCTTGCGTAAAACACGAACTCACCTCGCTCAAAAGAGTACAAACGCGGGCATAATGATAATAAAACTTTGTTTAAAACAACATGTCATTGTTTGTCGTGGCACAAAAGTAAAACCGCTTCTCTCCAAGCGGTACATTGAAAATCGTCCCGCTTGAGTTCGCTAAAAACAACATCATTACGTTGAATTAGCTCTCACAACCTCTAAACGCGAATCCTATTGAAAACGAGTGGTCTATAATGAAGCAAAAGCTCGGGGGAAAACGCATTATGAAGCTGGAAACATTAACCCATCACATTTGGACGATTACTTATAACACATGCTAAAAACATTAGAATTCTTGTCAAAATATTGTCAAACTGTAAAATAAATAATATATAAAAATGCAAAATGCAAATTAAACTATGCAAGAGAAAACTAGTGTACAAGCAAGTATTTGCAAAAATATGTAAACATTTTAATGGAACAAACTGTATATTTATATAGTTTCAATTAAAGGACGAAAATATGATTATAACTAATTTAATTGCATTATTTAAATTGTAATTACAATTTTCATTTGCAAAATTTGAATATGAAATGAATACATTTTGGAGTGGAAATAATAGCAAATATTATTGCTTTCTTGTTATAAACTTATAGGTATTTTTATGTAGAATAAATGCATGTCTGGTAAGTTGACACGCGAACCAATAGGATTCGTGTTTCAGCTGCAAACTTACCAGACGTGAAAACGGAAGTAATTCATTGCATACGTATTAATTGATATTTTGTTTCAGATACCACACCTGTTGGAACAAGATAAGACGAAGCAGCTGATTGTTTATTACAGTAGAATATACACACAACGCACCAAGTATTTTGTCTCTATTGTACACTTTCTACTATATGCAATTCACCACCACGATATCTCATTAAGATGAAAATTTAGCTAAGTACATAAAGTTATTATACAGGATGCTCGATTAAACGTTAACCCCATAAATATAAAATACGTACTCTATATATAGAAATGTCGTTTTATACCAGCAACGAACATTTTTTGACGAAATTTTTTATCGACGCAACGTGACGGGGACCAATGCTGCACAGACTGCAATTTCGAGTAATGTCCGTCTAGATTAAAATTAAATAACGGAAAGTATCGCGATAAACAGGTGGTGGAAGTTCGTAGTAAAATTCCACGGTTAGGGAGAATTTGCCGCGCTGTTGGATCGAATGAGAAAGAAAAACGCGGGAGTACATCGTTCTTCGCAAGCATCAACGTTGAAGAATGTAATTCGCATCGAGTCGCGAGGAATAGAGAGTCAAGGAAGCGTGCATCTTCCGCTCGAAGCTCTACGCAGTACGAGCTTACCGGATAAAAAGCTGGCCAGAGGGAAAAAGCAAAATGCCAGGGGGTACTTCGACGCGAGAAAGCAGCGAGGCGATCCGGATGGAGCCTTTAGGTAGAACCTCGAGTTCTCGGAGCCCTGGACAAAACGGGACTGCCAACACCACCGAGGTGCCGATAAACTCAGGTGAGTAAAAATCCACTTGTAACACGATAACACGCCTACCACTTCTCGACACAGACACGTCTTTGTAGGATAACTTTTCACGTCACGCTGAAAGTCGTGGCGTCTGCTGTCATCACGCTGTCACATTTTTTTCTGTATTAAACATCGTTGAAACTTATGTAACGTCCTGTGACGGAAAAGACTATGTCTATTTAGTGCTTCAACGTGATTCAGACATGATTAATATTACGCTCTCGTGAAGTTGTCTTTGAAACGAAATTCTCGGACTTGAGCGAAATGTTAGCACAGCCCTTCAACTCGAAAACTAACTGTGGATTGGCGACATTTATTACTCCACAACTTTGAAAACGTAAAATATGTATACACGGTATATGTGATTAATAATTGTGTATAATTGCCGGTTACTATAAATAGCCATCATTAAGTTTGGCGGTTGTTATAGTATAATCATGACTACAATCACCACTAAGATTATATGTAATAACCAGCAAAGTTAATGATGATTATATATAATAACCGACAAACATAATCACCGAATCTGTAAAATATATCTATGTAAAATTAATTAGAAAGGATTCGAGAGATTAATAACATTTCCGATCAAGTATAACGTTGAATCAACTAACTTTCTTAATCAGCAGATGCAATTCCCTTAATTGCATGTGCTCTAAATTATCGCTTCACAGAAATACACTTTACGCGTTTAGATCTTCCGTGCGTCGAACACTGCCACCAGTACGCGCCCGTAACGCGGAACATATAGGATACCTGACTCGGCCCCTATATTTTTATAGAGGCACTTATGGACCCTTAAATTTTTTTTTTTAAATGAATTAGAATAAAAAATATAATATAAGACAATTGCCAGAATACTATGTATAGAAGTCAGTCGTGAACCGAACGGAAGGTATAAAATGTACGTATAACTTCAA